TGGAGTGGAGATGTGAGGTGAGTCGACACTTTTTTGTGTGATGTGATCTGAGTAGACACCATGGAGTGGAGATGTGAGGTGAGTCGACACTTTTTTGGGTGATGTGATGTGAGTAGACACCATGGAGTGGAGATGTGAGGTGAGTCGACACTTTTTTGGGTGATGTGATGTGAGTAGACACCATGGAGTGGAGATGTGAGGTGAGTCGACACTTTTTTGTGTGATGTGATCTGAGTAGACACCATGGAGTGGAGATGTGAGGTGAGTCGACACTTTTTTGGGTGATGTGATGTGAGTAGACACCATGGAGTGGAGATGTGAGGTGAGTCGACACATTTTTACATGATGTGATGTGAGTAGACACCATGGAGTGGAGATGTGAGGTGAGTCGACACTTTTTTGGGTGATGTGAGGTGATCGAGCCGCAACTCGGGTCGAGGATCCATTGGGTTATGGGGCATCCAAATATGCAAAAACAATTTCATCGTGCGACACAAATTTCTACACATATGGGATTGAATGCGCATTTTGGGCTATATGTCAAACTAACGAACGAGGATGAATGAACTATGAAACAGTTGGGTACAAGTACTAACGCTAATTGGTTCACTAACCCTAATTCGTACCCTTTATGGGCTACCCTACTATAGCCTACACAAATGTAAGCACTATAACATTCTGACACACCCCCATAGGCATAGTGGGGGAGAACAAGTGGTCACAAGACCAGTCAAGAAGAGCAAAGCAAGCTCAGGGTGGATCACAAAGTCACCACACAGTCTGAGCACAAGAAAAGGGCTACAAGGCCAAAGATTTATATAAAAGAGAACAAACAATACAGTGATCATACCCTAGCAAGTGTAAGCATGCAGGTATATATATAGATCACAGTACAAGAAAAGTCACGCAGTGAGCAAGTGAGGCAAAGTAGGCACAAGGCCTAACACAGTAGAGAAGCGCTGATGATCACCAGGCGGAAGTGCCTTGGTGAATATATCAGCAGTGTTGGCCCTAGTGGCCATGTACGCAAGACGAAGCTGGCCACACTGCTGCAACTCTCGAGCAAGGAAGTATCGCAGAGCGATGTGCTTCGTTCGGTGCTCCAGTCTGTGCTCATATCACATGGCAATCATGGCCTTGTTGTCTATGTACAGAACTGGAGGCGAACGAGGCTGCTCTCCCAAGTCAATCAGCAGGTAGGTGAGTCAGCGTAGCTCCTCTGCAGCCATGGCCCCTGAGTAGATCTCAGCCTCACAACCGGAGCTGAGAACCGAAGACGAGCGGGTAGACCGCCAGGATACAGAGCCGGAACTGAGGCTGAAGGTGTAACCCTGTGACGACCGCTGCGTAGCAATGTCATCAACCCAAGAAGCGTCTCCGTGACCAGTGAAGACAACTGGACCCCGTCCTCCAAGCACGAGCCCCATGCCTGACGTACTGCACAAGTAACGCAGTACCCTCTTCGTAGCATCCCAATGCACCTTTCGGTGCATACCGGGAGCCACGTAGAGAGCCAGGAGGCTTAGAGGGTATGCAAGGTCAGGTCATGTGCACGTCATCAGGTACATGAGGCAACCCACAAGCTCTGGGTACGGACCACTCGGCTCTACGGACTCGTGCGAAGGTGGAGCTTAGAGCGAGTAACCGGTAGGCAGAGGAGTGGACTGTGGCGAGGAGTACCGGAAGCCGAAGCGCTGAAGGACCTGGTGCACCATGTGTGACTGGGTCGAGGTGATGGTGCGCTGTGCTCTGTCCCGGGTGATCCGCGTAGCTCACCCAAGTCAGTGTAGGTGTGTCTCTTTTGCAGCTCCTACTTCACAAGGGTCAGTGCCTCAGTGTCAGCAGTGGCAAAGACCAAGTCGTCGACGTACACGAGGATGTAGAACGGCGGCAGCGAAGTGTCGGTGCGCAGAAACAGCGACGGGTCAGCAGTCGAACGAGCAAACCCAAGAGCCGTGTGTCGTCCTCAGTGTGTCGTGCCACTGGCGAGGCGCCTGACGGAGACCGTAGAATGGCCGCCGGGGGCTCCACTGGGTACCCGCCGAAAATGACCCAGTGAAGCCAGGTGGGCGGCGCAGCCAGATCTCCTCGTGCAGGCTGCCCTGTAAGAAAGCTGTGCTGAAGTCAAGAGATTGAAGCTCGTAGTCACGCTGAGCGGCGACGTGCAGCAGCACCCGAAGAGTGATCATCTTCAGGGTAGGGGAGAAGGTCTTGAAGAAGTCGACTCTCTGTTGCTGACTAAAGCCTCGTGCATCGTAACGAGCCTTGAAGACAGGCGGAGAACCCGGCGGTCGCTTCACCCTGAAAATCCACATGCCATCGACTATGTTCGCCCCAGGAGGGGGAACTGCGTCGACGTATGTGCCTGTGGACTTCCATGATGCCATCTCTGCGTCCATGGCTGTTTGCCACTGAGAGGAGTAGGGACCCGTGATTGCCTCTGCGTAAGAGCACGGGGTCGGGATGTCTGGTGCATCCGGGTCTCCCTCAGGTGCAGGCAGCATGGCCATGAGATGAGGTGCAGTAGCTGCAAGACACTCAAAGTTTTCCTGCCTGTCCTCAAGGACGTCCGTGCCAAGATCACACTCACCCCTGACGGACGGAGGACAGTCTGACATAGACTCGGCACCAAGACTAGCGTCGTAGTCGAGACGACACGCAGCAGCAAAGTCAACAAGCTCAGCTACTAGGGCAGACGCAGCAGTAGACTTAAACGAAGGGTCAGTGACAACAGTGGCTAGAAGACGTGTGAAAGTAGGACTGGCAACACGAACTAAGTCACACTCAGTGTCCGGACCGTCAGGAAGAGAGGACCCAGGAGGAGATGGCAGGGGAACTCGCAGTGGAATAGAGGAAGGACGAAGTGCCATAATGTGAGTGTCGGGGACAGGAGGAGGACGCTGACGAGGAATACGACGACCAGTGCAAACAGCGTGAACAGGCAAGGCAGGACGAGACGCAGGCTCACGACGCTCTGAAGGAGAGTCTGTCTGCTTAGTGTAAAGAGAAGGAGCAGGCAATAGGGAGTCTGGCTGTAACTGTGGCTGCGATTGGTCAGGCGGTGGACACAGTAAAGGAGGAGTAAGGCTAGTCGAAGACGGGAGACTAAGAACCTGGCGAAGTATCGAGCCAGGTGGCGGCAGAGACGACGGCAGCAGCGGAACAAAAAACGGTCGCCGCTGCACAGTGCCTCCAGCACCAGTACCGCCAGCTCGAGCACCCCTAGTGCCAGCACCTCCAGCTCCAGGGTCTCCAGCTGCAGCGCCTCCAGCTCCAGGGCCTCCAGCTCCAGCGCCTCTAGCTCCAGCGCCTCCAGCTCCAGGGTGTCCAGCTCCAGTGCCTCCAGCTCCAGCGCCTCCAGCTCCAGCGCCTCCAGCTCCAGGGTCTCCTGCTCTAGCGCCTCCAACACCACCAGCTCCGGCAGCTCCATTACCTCTAGTACGAGCACCTCCAGGACCAGCAGTTCCAGCACCTCCGATACCTCCAGCTCCAGTGCCTCCAGCTCCAGCGCCTCCAGCTCCAGCTCCTCCAGCGCCAGGGTCTCCAGCTCCAGCACCTCCAACACCACCAGCTCCGGCAGCTCCAGAACCTCCAGTACGAGCACCTCCAGGACCAGCAGCTCCAGCACCTCTGGTACCTCCAGTTCTAGTGCCTCCAGCACCAGCAGCAACTCTAGCACCTCCAAGACTAGGAGTTCCAGCGCCTCCAGCTCCAGTGCCTCCAGCGGCGGGGCCTCAAGCTCCAACAGCGCCACTCCTAAGGCGTGTGCACCGAGCAAACCACTCGGGCAGCTGCCGGGGTGAGAGAGGCTCCCGCCGCCGAGACTGCAGTGGCGAGGCAACCGCAGGACCTCCGGCAGACACAGTACCCCTAGGCTCAGCACCCCCAGATTTAGTACCAACTGGCTCAGCACCCCCAGGCTCCGCACTCTTAGACTCAGCACCCCCAGTCTCCGCACCCTCAGGCTCAGCACCCCCAGGCTCCGCACTCTCAGGCTGAGCACCCCCAGACTCTGCACCCTCAGGCTCAGCACCCCAAGGCTCCGCACTCTCAGGCCCAGCATCCCCAGGCTCCGCACCCGCAGGCTCAGCACCCCCAGACGCAGCACCCCTAGCAGCACCACCCCCAGCAGCACTAGAGCCTACAGTGACTTCGACAGGCTCAGCCAAGGGGAGTGGGTCTACCTGAGACACACCTGAGGGAGTAGGACCCTGAGGGGGGAGGGGGTCTACCGGAGGGGAACCTGGAGCAAGGAAGAGCGGTAGGGGGGGGAGAGGGGCAGCGCGGTAGGGGAAGAGACGGTAAAAAAGAACCGACTCGTCAAACGTGACGTCCTGAGAGGGCAGGACACGGCGCGTGGTGGGGTGGTAAAACTGCCAGCCAGGTGCGTCAGGGGGAAATCCAAGGAAGACACAAGGAATGGTACGGGAGGAGAGCTTGTCCGCGGAAGTATCGCGGACAAAGGCACGAGAGCCCCGGACCCGGAACACCGACGCATCGCCAACCTTCCACGTCCAACGCAGTGTAGGCGAGGTCTCCGACAAGGAGACACGAGGCCAGAGGTTGAGCTGATGCGCATGGATCATGGAGGTACGAGCCGGCAGCCTGCTTGTGCTCTTCCCTCTGTGCATTGGAGTGCACGAGCATGGCCCTCTGTGCATTGGAATGCACGAGCATGACCCTCTGTGCATTGGAGTGCACAAGCATGGCCCTCTGTGCATTGGAGTGCATGAGCATGGCCCTCTGTGCATTGGAGTGCACGAGCAACAGCTGCTCTATGCGCAGCGACCCATCCCTCAGACACGTGGCTGTGCTCTATGGCGTGTGGCATGACACGTGGCGATGCTCTATGGCATATAGCACCTCCTGTGGGCATGAGAGAGGGAGGGAGGGAGGAGGACGAGAGGGAGGACAGCATAGAGAGCATGGGTAGATAAGATGAGACGATGAGACGCCTCACATACATTCCATTGTCTGTAACGAGCGAGCACGCAAGCAACTCAACGCACCTGGTGCACGTGGTGCAGCAGCAGCTCCCTCACGATCTGCATGGCCCGCTGCTCAGGGGACTGGTCTGTGCACAGACGAGGGTCCTCCTCCCAAGGCGCCTGCACCGCCTGGTGTGTGTGCGGCAAGAGGATGGGTATGGACCAGGCATGTGTGGGAGGGAGTGAGAGAGCGAGAGATGGCTCATATTGGAACAACATGGCGGATGCAGGAGGGACGCAGGCGTAACGTATCGTGGTGTCACTTCTGAGGAATCTAAAAAAACAAGAAGGGTTGCTTGTGCACGTAACACGAGTAGACATCGGGTGTGAACGAGAAAACAGCAGCGAGAGGTGGAAGGGAGAGTGGGCAATCAGCCTCATGACCCTCAACCCTCGACCCTCCGACATCCCAAGCGCCCACTCCTACAACCCCCCAACCAACCCCCCAACCAGCCCCTCAATGCCCCTACTCCACTACCTCCCCCCATGCACCCGGCGCCCCCACCCCACCCACTCCCCACCCACTCTGCCCCCCACCCTGCGCACCTTTCGATGGAGTGGAACGTGGTGAGCTCCTGTGCGAGGGGCAGCAGCAGGCGCTTGTCCTTCACCAGGTCCACCTTCACCAGGTCCACCTTGCTCACCACCGCTATGCGCTGCTGCCCCTCCCTCCGCTCCGCCCCTACCACTCCCACCATCCGCCGCACCCGCGGGTCCGGCCTGCAGGTGTGGAGTGCGGTGGGAAGGGATGGGGTGGTATGGGATGGGTTTGTGGGATGGGGAGGATTGGTGGGATGGTTAGTTTGGACTGGGATGGGATGGGATGGGATGGAGAGAGAGGGGAACATTCTGCAATGGGATGCTTCCGTCTCTTTTCCAGGAGCAGGTGGGGGAAGTCTTGGTCCTGGACAAGAGGGAAGGGCTGTGAGTGAGGAAGAAGGGGAGAACAAGAGCAAAGTGGGGGATGACAAACAAACAAAGCCCCACAGCCAATGCTTCAGCTACAGTCCCTCTCACCACACCCTCGCACAACCACCCTCGCACCTCCTAGTCTGCCGGTGGGCATCATTCACCAGTGCCACCACATCAACCACTTCCATACTCCCCTCTCCCCTGCCGTCTTGCCCTTTTCTCCCCATGTCTTCCTCCCCTCCTCCTTGCACGCACCTTCTGATCTGCCGGTCAGGGTCAATGACCAGGGCCACCACACTGCAGTGCAGGGCAGCGGACGACGCGAGGAGGGACCCTTGGTGCTGCGATGCTGACAATGGCTGTGATGGCAGCGCCACTGTTAGCCCCGGCGTGTCGTGAAACACCTGGGAGGGGGGGGCGGCGAGAGTGTGTGAGCAGCGCACGAACAGATTGCAAACAGGGATGAATTGATTCATCAATACTCATGCTGACAGTGTTTGAGATGGCAGCGCCACTGTCAGCCCCGGCGTGTCGTGAAACACCTGGGAGGGGGGAAGGAGGATGAGCGCAAGGGGATGGGGGGAGGTGGCGAGCAGAGGGGGGAATGGAGGGGGCGAGGGAGGAGCGGAAAAACAAGGAGGGGGGAGAGGAAGGGAGGGGGTGCAGGAGGAAGACGGAGAGGAGAGAATGAGGGAGGGAGGGGAGGGGTGTATGCAGATGTGAGTCTGAATACAAATGACTCACGTGCAGCAGACTTCATTACTCTGAAGTTAACGTGTTATAAAACATGGCCGGCACACCACTGCAGCTTGAAGCGAGGAAGCACCATCCCGCTTCAAGTGTAGGACGACCTTCAAGGCGGTGGTACGTCCCAGTGAGTTCAATTCACACGCATGCGTGCCAACTCGCTGTCACCCTCCCAGTACATCGCAGCAGCGACCCTCACCAGTGCTGTGAGAGTCACAGCGAGTTCACGCTTGGCCCTCCCACTTTGGGCCTCCCACTCTGATCTGAGCCATCCACTCTGAGCCATCCACTCTGAGCCATCCACTCTGAGCCATCCAGCAAGTCCCCTGACCTCAACGGACCTCACCTCACCCCGCCCCACCATACCTCACCTCACCGCACCTCAACTGCTTCATCGCCCAGGACCGAGCAGCCAACTCTCTGTTCTTAATCATCTTGTTCTGCCTCTTCTCAAAATCTCCATAATCTTTCACTCATAGTGGAAGAGCAGTGAGAAGATCGGACGACGCTTCCTCACCTCGCATCACCTCACCTTACCTCAACCCACCGCACCGCACCCCACCTGCTTCCTCGCCCAGGACCGAGCAGCAGACTCTCTTTTCTGTTCTTGATCATCCTCTTCTGCCTCCTCTCCACAGGCGCCCCTACCCCCTCCCCACCCAGCTTCCTCCCCCTCCGCCCTGCACTCCCCCCCACGCCCCCGCTCAGAGTGTGTCCACATCCCCACTCCTCCCGCCTGTATCCGACTGCCCCCTTCCCCTCCGTTGTCACTGCCCCCCCACCTCTCCCCCCCACCCCATCCGCCGCCACCATGCCCGCCCCAGCAGACCTCCCCCAGCCCCCCTGCGCCCACACCTGCGTCCACACCTGTGCCCACACCTGCGCCCATACCTGCGCCCATACCTGCGCCCACACCATACGTAGTGGGCACCATCCCCCCACCCATCCCCACGCCTCCCCCCACACCTCCGCCCATGCCCCTTCCCATGCCCATCCCCATGGGAATCCCACCAGGAGGGGCGAGTCCCTGCACTCCCATTGCTCCCCCCAGCTCTCGCAGTGACCCCAGTGAACCCCCTCCCAGCGCTCCCAGTGACCCGAGTGATCGCCGCACTGGACTTCTGCCGCCGTAGTGAGCGCGCGCGCAGCAACCCCGCAGCCCTGTCGCGCGCGCGCGGATCTGCGCGCCCGGCGGCGTGCGCGGCGGCGAGCATGTGCGACTCCTCGGCGAGCCAGACGGATCGCAGGAAGTTGCCAATGGGCAAGGATGCGACGGCGTGCGACGGGCCTACGAACGTCGCCTGGAATTCATCGAGCGTGAGCGGACAGATAGACGCCTGCCGCGCCAGCAGCTCCGGGAACGACATGGCGCGCGGGCGGAGGGCGGAGAGGGAGCAAGGCGGAGTGGCGGAGGAGTGCAGAGGCGGGGAAGCGGCAAGGCGGAGTGGCGGAGGCGGGAAAGCAGACTGGCGCTGAAGAGCGCGAGGCATCGAATAGAAGGTGGCGCGAGAGAGGAGATGATATTTACAAGGGTATGGTGCACAGCTAACTTTCTCGATAGCTACGGCGCACTAATAAGCAGAGAGGGTGAGCGAAGAGGTTCGGCCTCTCACGCGTCTATCACAGCCCGTCCTCAACGGCTCCTCCCATTCCCCTCCTCCCCCTTCCTCCTGTCACATCGTCGCATCGTCGGGAGGGTGAGCGGCACGTGGTGATTGTAGGGACGAGGCACGTGCACACGCAAGCCAAGGGCACGAGCACGCTACGGAACGGCCTGAAGGAGAAAGAAACTGCGTATTGAAGAAAAGGAGCAAATTAAAGTAGGGGATTTTTTACGGAGGTGCGGCATACAGAGCTACGGAGCGGACCACGAATTTAAAACTTGTGTGAAGATGCGAGAGATGCACTCGAGAGGAGATGCGACTCGGGGTAGGAGGAGAAATCGTAGCGGAATGTGAGGAGCAAGCAGTTACGAACGGGTTCCTTCTGCTTTGCTGTGAGTGACTCACCTGCTCTACAACCCGATAAAGGCGGCTTCATATTAGGTACAGAGAGATATGGAACCTTTCTCACTGTATTCTCAACTCATTAGCATTGTGGCCTGGTTGTCTAGAGTGGGTTTTATATTTTTCCTTGCCCGCGGTCAGCTTGCTGACTCAATTGCACTGCCAGCTGACGCTAGCAGTGCAATATATATTCCAAGAGTCTCCACTATTCTTCCCCTCGCACTAGACATCATCAGCAGCCGCGTCGCGCGTGCTCTAGTCGCCACCAGGAGCATTTTTTCCGCCCTGGAATTGGCAGCCGCCGAAGAAACGATCATCGCCGCCCAGTGCGGTATTTACAGTTATTTTCGTCGATCGTTCCTTCTCCTCCGTGCAGCGTTCCCCGATCCGCGCGAGTCCGGACCATGGCGCTCCGCATACACCCCGCCTTGCCCCCAGCAACGCGTCTCTTAGTGAGTGTGACGTTAACGAGCGAACGCATTAGGTGGTTCGTCGGCGCTGCGGCGTTTTCGCGAGCAATGCGCGCTCCATCACATGCTGGAACGGTCGTCTTCACATGCGGCGTGGGCCGCATACGCTGCTGCGATACGAAGAATATTTCAGAACAAGAGCGGCTACGCTCCTTCTCCTCATTTCCGAATCACCTACTGTTGTCCCTCCCTCTCTCGTCTCTCGCTCCGTTCTTTCCATTCTCTCGCCCGTCTCTCCATTATCACCTGCCTCTCTTTCCCTGCTTCCTCTCCCATCCCCCACCTCCCTGTTCTCGTTCCGTTCCCCCATTCGCCAAACCCCCTCTCCCATACTTTTCCAGAATACCTTTGCCCCGCGCGCGCTTACTCTCCTCCGTTCACTCGCTAGCCTCTGCGTCCCTTCTACACACCGACTGATGCGTCACTCCGCCAAGCGCAGCGCGCTCTCCCCCGCAGGCGGACGGTGTGTCGCGCAGCTGCTGCAGGGGGCGCGGGCGAGGCGGATGTGGGGGGCGGCGCCGCTGGTGACCGCTGCAGGCGATGGCGCAGTGAGGGCGGGTGAGTGGCAGTAGGAAGGGGGGGGGGGGGTGAATGGCAGTGACGCGGGGAAGGCGGGTGAGTGGCGATGGTGCGGGGAGGGCGGGTGAGTGGCGATGGCTCGGTGAGATTGGGTGAATGGCAGTGGAGCGGGGAGGGCGGGTGAGTGGCAGTGGTCCGGGGGCGGGGGGCGGGTGAGTGGAGTGGCAATTGGAGGGGGGGCGCGGGTGAGTGGAGTGGCAATGGGAGGGGGGGCGCGGGTGAGTGGCAGTGGCAATGGGAGGGGGGGCGCGGGTGAGTGGCAGTGGCAATGGGAGGGGGGGCGCGGGTGAGTGGAGTGGCAATGGGAGGGGGGGCGCGGGTGAGTGGCAGTGGCAATGGGAGGGGGGGCGCGGATGAGTGGCAGTGGTGCATGGCCAGACAGCCTATTTTCCCAACCCGCACCGCACTCCTTGCTCCCCGTTCCCCCCTCCCCTCTTCCCCCTTCTCTCCTCACCCCATCCCTTCTTCCCCTGTCAGTATCCGCCACTCGCTTTGGTCTCTTTCGCTCGCCAGTCACCTACCCTTGTCCTCCTTCTGGCTGCATTTCTTCCCCACTCGATTCTAACTCCTCTTTCTTCCCGTTCTCGACTGTCGCCCGTCCCTCTCCCTGGCTTCCATTCCCTGCTTCCTCTCCCATCCCCCCACTCCCTGTTCTCGTTCCTTTCCTTATTTCCATAATGCCTTTGCCCTGCGCGCGCCTACTCTCCTCCGCCCACTCGCTAGCGGCCGCGTCTCCCTTACGCACCAATTGCTGCGCTACTCCACCAAGCGCAGCGAGCGCACTCCCCTGCAGGTGGAGGGTGTGGCGCGCAGCTGCTGCAGGGGGCGCGGGGGAAGCGGATGCAGGGGAAGCGGATGCAGGGGCGGCGGATGCAGGGGCGGCGCCGCTGGTGACCGCTGCGGACGATGGCGCAGTGAGGGCGGGTGAGTGGGGATGGCGCAGTGAGGGCGGGTGAGTGGGGATGGCGCACTGAGGGCGGGTGAGTGGGGATGGCGCAGTGAGGGCGGGTGAGTGGGGATGGCGCAGTGAGGGTGGGTGAGTGGGGATGGCGCAGTGAGGGCGGGTAAGTGGGGATTGTGGAGAATCACTCTACAACGGTGGTGAGCTAGACTACGAGGTTGGCACGAACTTCTAGGAGTGATGGTAGCTTTGCCTAGTTCCTTAGTGCTTGCACAATCACGGGAGAAATTAGCAAGAGGTTTCACTAGCAAAAATCGAATCCCACAAGCAATCACAAGAATGACTACATCAGGCACCTAGCAACTCTGCAGCTAGTCTGGTCGACAGACAGCACAGCATGGTCGACCGCCTGCCAGCGTTGCGTAGAGGAGCCGCACCAGCACTGTAGAAAGGCGACCTGCCAGCACAGCAGGTCGACGGTGTGCCAATGCTGCAGCAGAATGGTTGTCCAGCGTGGCCTCGTAGAAGACAGCAGTGCGCATGCTCGCAGATGCGTGCAGACGATTGGCCCGACTTGCACCGTTGTGCATCCGTCGGCTGTTGTCTGCGCCTGACGAGCCACATCGACTTCGGGATACCAACCCGAAGTCGCCTTCGCCATCGCGACCTCGACGACGTTTGCATGCTTCCGCAGAACTTGCCGAGCAGGTTACCCGGTCGACCTGGACAACCCCAAGTGCCTCTGGTCGACCACAGCTCCCGTCGAGCTACCCCTCTGGTCGACGGACCCTTTCCGTCGGCCAGAACTGTCAACTGTTGTCGACGAGCTCCCCTCGTCGACCGCTACTCACTTCTCAGGTCGACGGACTGCTCTGTCGACCTCCCGGTCGAACAGCCCCTCCTGGTCGACGGCCCATCCGTCGCCCAGACCAGTCAGTTGCAGCTGTCGAGTTCCCTGGTCGACAGCAATACCACAGCGGTCCCCTGCAGCTCGACGAAATCTGTCGAGCAGCTCTCCCACTGCGGATGGTCGGCTGCTACTCCCGTACATCCGACCAAGTCGTCGGTGTTGCCCAAGCGAGGGCGGGGCCAACACTTCACTTTCGTTAACAGGGATGGCGCAGTGAGGGCGGGTGAGTGGGGATGGTGCAGTGAGGGCGGGTGAGTGGGGATGGCGCAGTGAGGGCGGGTGAGAGGGGATGGCGCAGTGAGGGCGGGTCGGGTGAGTGGGGATGGCGTAGTGAGGGCGGATGAGTGGGGATGGCGCAGTGAGGGCGGGTGAATGGGGATGGCGCAGTGAGGGTGGGTGAATGGGGATGGCGCAGTGAGGGCGGTGTTATAGTCACAATACGCTTGAATGTGCCTAAAACGAAAGATTGAGTGCACATACGGATTTCTGCACAGTGGCTTCAAACGTTGATAACGTTCTGGTCACAGCTTAAAATGACCTGATTCAACTTGGATCTGGAGCGTCTTAACATTGCCTACAATAAGCAATTTTGATTGCACGATTTCATAAAGAATTGACGACACAGTGTCAGTTTGAACGAACGGTATTATGGCAACCACTATAGACTTAGAACACAAATTAGGAAGAGTTACGAGTTGGGAATGGCTCCCAGCTCCTACAAACCCCAACAGCCGAGGTATAGTGATGTGGATTAGTGCCAGACTGTCCCCAACCACAAATGGTCTCGAAACTACCCTCCACAAGGGCCTACACAAAGAGAAATGTTACATTACACAAAGTAATGTAACCATTCTCACTATCTTGAAGTTTACCCTTTTGGAGAGATTCGAAATCACTTGAATCCTGAAACCAAGTCTTTGGTTCTTCAAGATAAATTCTTCTTTGAGTTCTTGAAAGTATGTTGCGCACACCTGTGACACGCCGAACGTTCCACACACGACAAAATAGAAAAACGCACACGACACGCAAACGACGACGTGACACGCGACTAGCGATAACGCGCTATTGACTCGACACACACATTCAAAATTATGCTTCATCATTCACACACTATTGTAAGCATGAAATATATATGATCTCATACCCTCATAACGTAAGGCCCCGGATAGAAGCGCAGGCCTCGGATAAGCGCCGGCGGTTGTAAAAGGGTGATGGCGCTTATATCCGGTCCTCGATTATAAGCGCACCCCTGGAGGCTTACGGATTATAAGCGCACCCCTGTATTATGACACATTATCAGCGCCTCCCTTTTTTATTTCGACTATTATTATCATATCTTGTACATGCTATTTTCACTACAACATAATATTTTTCCAATTCTACTACTGTACTAAATCCTACTGATAGTTTAGCGCAACATTCGCTGACCTTCTCTAGCATCCTATGCATTCTTTTCTTCCTAGCATCTTATGCATCACCATCAACAGTGGCGGAGCCATCTTGGTCGGCCTCCCCGTCCGACTCTGGCTCCTCTACGTTGTTGCAGCAGAATCCATCTGCTGCAATCTCGTCGTCAAGTTCTACTTCACCCTTGACGGCGTCCCGCCGGTGCTGCATGCAGAGATTGTCCTGGGACCCATCCAGGGCGTTGCTGATGCCACAGGTGAGAAACGCGCGCTGAATCAACTCCTTGGGCACGGCCTTCCAGGCCTTGGAGATCCACTTGAGCGTCAGCTCTTGAGGTGGCTTGCGGATGTTGCCTGCCACACATGGAAAGACTACAGCAATCAGAAGAGGGTGGAAACAGTCTAAGCAGACACATCGTACACGTTGAGATTGAGCTCACCTCTTTCGGTCAGGCTGTCGACCCCCTCGCTCTCGAACCACTCCTCGTACAGTTGGCGGACTGCTGCTTTGAATGAGCGGTTCACCGCGACGTCAAGAGGCTGGATCTCAGAGGTGCAGCCAGCTGGTATGACGGCGGGGACGATGTTCAGCTCCCCGAATTTCGCCTTCATAGCATCAGTGAGGTGCCCGCGGTAGGAGTCAAGAACCAACATCACTTTCCTGCCGCGTACTCCGAACCTGGGGTTGACATACGGGTTCACCGTCCCGTCGAGCCACGCGAGGACACCGTCAGCGTCCATCCAACCGTTGGGATGTACGGCGACCACAACATCTGCACATCCGAACAAGGCGTACGGACAGATTAGCATCAGACATAAAAAAAATAATATCACATGCAAATGACATCGTCACTGCACAAGCTCCTCGGCTTACCGGAGGGGAAATTCCCCTTAGGAATTGTCATGCGCTTAAAGAAGACCCAAGGCTTGAGCTTCTCGCCGCTGGCGGTGCAGGCGAGCATCACCGTCACGCGTTCTTTTTGATAGCCGCCGCTGCGGATGGGCACGGAGCGGATCCCCACCTCCTCGACCGTGCGTTCAGCTGGCATCTCGAGCCAGAGTGGCGTTTGATCGGCATTAATAATCCAGCGGTTGTCGATGCCGTACTGACGGCGGGAGTGTCGCACGAACTTCCAGAAGTTCTGCACCTGTGTCTCACACTCTGCAAGGGAAGGGTGGGAGAGACAAACAAAAGAAGTAAATTAGAATTTCGAAGGTCGTAAGCAGCCATAAACGAGAGCGACAGCACAAACACCGACTCACCAGACGACAGCTTCTGGCCGACTCTGGTCTTCGCTCGGGTAGTGAGGTTCCAGCGCCGTCGAAAAGGCTCAGTCCACCTCTGAGATCCAGCCCACTTTACCTCAGGATGCAGGATCTTCATCACATCATGTGACCACTTCTGCAATCGGCCGACGGACACGGCGAGACACTTTTTCCGGTGGGCAAGAACACGTGAGTACACCTCGATCTCCATGTCGCGGTACCACGACGCCCGACCACGCCCGTGAAGGCGCTTGCGAGCCCCATGCGCACCTTCCAGCTCACCCTTCCGCGACTTCCACTCTGACAAGGACTTTCGGGAGATACCAGTGTCGCGGGACATTCTCTGCACACTCACAGCTCCGGACTCCAACTTTGCAATCCACTGCAGCTTCTCCTGGGAAGTGTAGGAGTTGCGCTTGTGCGTTGAAGGCTTGCTCCTGGGGGACGGAGGGCGGGCATCACGAATCTGTTTGGAGGGGTGGGGCCGTTTCTTATTCGGCGGGGGGAAACTAGGGACAGGCAGGTCCTCGGGAAGACCGTCGGCCGCCCACCACTCAACATCGTCTTCAGCACCAGTGGCGGATTCGTCGTACGGGCAGTCTTCCGCGTCTCCCCAGCGTGGCGACAGACCGGGGCCGGGTTCATCGTCGCCGCTGCGCTCGGGCTCGGAGATGTACGCGTCGAAAGCTGAGTACCCATGAGGGAGGAGCTGTAGAACGGGCCGACCGTTAACGACGACGATAGGCGGAGCGGGAGGAGCAGGAGGTGCAGGAGGAGCAGGAGGCGCAGGAGGAGCAGGAGGAGCAGGAGGCGCTGGAGGAGTAGGAGGCGCTGGGCGACTCTGCCACTGAGAGTAATCGCGAGTGTTGCCAACAACAGGTCGACGGCTAAATAGGATGTGAGTGCCTGGAAGGCCCGCCATGGCCTAGGCAGGCCGAGGGAAAACAATAAAACTGAAGAAAACGAAGCGAATGAGCCTCGTTTGAAACCCTCGCAGGAGACCCCTCCAACTTCGCGGCCCGGGTTCCTCTGCAGGGAAAGGGGGAAAACTGTCAAAATCCCCCCCGCAGAGGAGCTGAGGTGGTGAGGTCAATGCCTCGGTGGAGTGGAATCTTGCCGGGGATGCCAATTGCGTGGTTGTACAGAGTCGTGCCTGGCACGGCATGCGACCCTGATTGGGCAGTCGCACCCTAAACTACGTGTGCGCTAGCATGGGCCAGATTCATGTTCGATGAATCTTGCCAGGCCAGCAAGACGTGATGGGCGTGATTCCACGCCTTTTTGGCCATTTCACGCACTTTTCATGCACGGATACGAACGTTCTATATGTGGATTGAATCCTCTTTTGAAAAAAGCTTCAATTTTATGTTAAAACAATACATTTCATTTTTGCCATTTTATCAACGCCGGCGCTTATAAATTTCCTCGATTATAAGCGCATCCCCCTAAAAAACAGTGTTTTCTTATACCCCCAGAGGCGCTACTATCCGGGGGCTGACGGTACCATTCCATGCACACACTCATGCACACATACGGACAACAAGCCGAATGCAAACCGTAGGGTTGCACCAACAAACTCCCCCTCGGATTGTTGGTCTTAAGATCTGAATCTCTCAGTTCAGAGCCATCTCAGCCAGCTTGCAACACTTCCACTGCTGCTGCTCAACCAGCCTCTTCGTCATCATATCAGATGTGTGCCTTGTCGTCTTCACATTCAAAATCATGCATCATCATTCACACACTATTGTAAGCATGAAATATATATTATTTCATGTTGTCATACCATTCCATGCACACACGCATGCACGCAAACGGACAACAAGCCGAATGCAAACCGTAGGGTTGCACCAACAAACTCCCCCTCGGATTGTTGGCCTTAGGATCTTGCTCTCTCAGTTCAGAGCCATCCCAGCCAGCTTACAACACTTCCAATGCTGCTGCTCCACCAACCTCTTGGTCATCATGTCAGCTGGCTGCCTTGTCGTCTTCACGTAGTGCAACTCAACTTCACCCGCGGCCACCATGCTCCTCGTCCAATGCCATTTCACCCTCATGTGCTTCGTGAGGCCATGCAACACAGGGTTCTTAGCAAGAGCAATGGCAACTTGACTATTACAGTATAGTGGGGTAGGTCCTTGCTGCTCCTCCCCCAATTCAGCCAACAAACGCCGCTGCCACACAATCTCCCGTACGGCACGGAAGAGTGCCATGTACTCGGACTCCACCGAGCTCAATGCTTGATCCACCTGCTTCTTGCTCTCCCAAGCAGTTGGGCCTCCACCAACACAGTAAATAAACATTCCAACACTTGTAATGTCCTCTGGTTCCGACGCATAAAAAGCATCCGAGAATGCGGTGAGGAACAAACGCTCGAGTTGAACACGATCCGTGCCCTTTAGGCGCCTTTGCGCCGCCGCCGAGTATAGCAGCCCAACGGTCGATGTTTTGCCAAAATACTTGGCCACCCTCATTCCAACTGCTAACTGCTCCTCATTAAGGCATTGAACAACCCTAGCCAACTGTCCGGTTTCAAAGACGACGTCCGGTCGGGTGTTTACCGCCGCGTACATGAGGCTGCTCACCAACGAGTGAAAACGGCACCTCTGCTCTTCACCAACACTCTTTTTCTCTGGTCCCTTCACACACTTGAATCCAGAGGAAAATGGTGTAACCACATAGCCTTCACTCTGCCCAAAGTTGGCAGCCAATGCCTCCAGGTACTTTCGTTGATGCACCCGCATGCACCGCTTCTCCACATTGCGTTCAATGTGAAGCCCGAGGTAGAAGTTGATGTCACCAAAGGTCTTGCACTTGAACTTGCACTTGAACTTGTCTTGAAGCTTCAGCATCACCTTGTTATAGTCACAATAACAGGCAGGTGAGTGGGGATGGCGCAGTGAGGGCGAGTGAGTGGGGATGGTGCAGTGAGGGCGGGCGAGTGGGGATGGCGCAGTGAGGGCGGGCGAGTGGGGATGGCGCAGTGAGGGCGGGCGAGTGGGGATGGTGAGAGCGGGTGAATGGCAGCGGCGTGGGGAGGGCGAGTGAGTAGTAGTGGCTGGGGGTGGGGGGCGCGGGTGAGAGGCAGTGGTGCGGCGAGGGCGGGTGAGCGAAGTAGCTTTTCTTTTCCTTTCCTCCCTTCCGCCCTTCCTCCTTCCCCACAATCATCCTACGAGTTGTTCGTTTGAAATGCCAGGGTTCAATCCCTGCACCTTCCCCCATCGCACCCTTCCCCCATTGCACCCTTTCCCCCATCGCACCCTTTCTCCTTTCCTTGCACACTTCACCCTGGCTCACCCTTCCCCCACCTCACCCTGTGTCGGGCGGAGAGGGGAGGCCCACGGGCGCCCATGGGCTGCCAGTCCCACTGGTGATGGTCTCAAGTGCCTTCCCCCTTCCCCTTCCCCTTCCCCTTCCCTATCCTCCCCTTCCAGTCTCCGCCACTCGCTTCGGTCTCTTCCGCTTGCTCGTGTCAGGAGGGGTAGATAGCGCCACGAGCGCCCACGGGCTGCCAGCGCAGCTCCGCTCCATCATTCCCCGCTCGCACCACCGCCGCAAGGGGTACCCCTTGGGGCCGCTCGTTGATTTCACCACTTATGCTGACAGCCGTGAGTGGGGTGGAGGGACGCCACGAAGTCGGCGTCCTCCCAAAGTTGGCGCCATCCAAGTCGGCGCCCTTCCCAGGTCGACGAGCCCCGTCGCCAACCACCAGCAGAAGTCGGCCACCGGCTTCCCAAAGTCGGCGGCTTTGCAGTAGCCCCGTGCAGGTCGACTGTGGGAGTGGGGGGAAGGGGTGTGGGAGGGGGAAGGGGACTGTGAGTGAAGGGGTGGCCGCAAGGGGTACCCCTTTGGGTCCCTTGTCGACTTTGCTACAGATGTTGACGGCCATGAGTGGGTGGTTGGTAGGAGGAGGGGATGAAAGATGGGGGGTGGGGGGCGATGGGGGGGTAGTGGGTGTAAGGGGAATGGGGAGGAAGAAGTGGGGAAGAGGAGGGGTGGGTGAGCGAGGCTGGACGGGGGATGGGAGTGAGAGGGCAAGAGGAAGGAAAGGTAGGTTGAGCCACGGCGTCATGGCACACTGCTAAACCGAACTCCCTTTTCAGCCCCAACTCTTGCTCACTGCTCCCCCTCCTGTTGCCCTAGACCAGACACCCCTTCCTCCGCACGCCTGTGAGACACCATATTCCTTGCCATGCCACCACCACCTTCCCGCATTCCACCTCGCCCTCCTCTCCCCTCCTTTAGACCCCGTGTTCCTGCTATCGCCCTATGCGTGCACTCGCACAACCTCCAGTGGGATCGTGCAAATCCCCTCCCTCCCCAAGTGGAGCCTAGCTGGACTCCAAGACTCCAACTGAAGGCATCACTTCTGGAGTCGCCTTGTCAACGCCCTTCCCCCCTTCCTTTCCCTCTCCCTCCTCTCCATCCACCCTTTTAGGCCTCACCGTCCCCTGTGTTCCCCCGCAACCCGCAAACCCCCAAACCTCCTTTCCGCCCATGCCTTCCCCCCAGACCCCGTGTTCTTACTTTCCTTGCTCGGCATGCACTCGCGCAACCTCCAGTCTGACCCGCGCTGCAGCGTGGTGGTGCAGATCCCACCTCCCCTGGCTGGAGCCTGGATCCTTAACCCAAACCTTCTTTGTTTGCCTGCTCTCCCCACCACCCCCCAACCCCACTCCCCTTTCCTCGAGACCCTTTGTTCCTGCTCTCCCCTCTCGACATGCACTCGTGCAACCTCCAGACAGATCCGACCCGCGCTGCAAAGTGGCCGTGCAGATCCCTGGTTGGAGCGGCCTTGCCAACGTCCTTCCTCTCTGCCCTGTCAGAGGTCCACTGGTGATCCCCGATTGATCCTAGGGAAGGGTTACAGGCATGTTGGCCTGGGGGGATATGGGCACACTGACCCGCTACTTAACAAGCCCTTTTATCCCAATGGTCTAGTGGTTGGGATTCTGACATGGTATCAGAGCGAAGGTCTCGGGTTCGAATCCCAGTGTGTGCACTTCGGGCATCCCAGTGCGGGGGGGTGTCAGAGGTCCACTGGTGATCCCCGATTGATCCTAGGGAAGGGTTACGGGCATGTTGGCCTGGGGGGTTATGGGCGCACTGACCCGCTACTTAACAAGCCCTTTTATCCCAATGGTCTAGTGGTTGGGATTCTGACATGCCCCTCCCCCTCCATCATTTGCTCCTCCTCCAGACCTCGTGATCCTGCTCTCCCCTCTCGGCATGCACTCGTGCAACCTCCAGTCGGACCCGTGCTGCAACGTGGTGGTGCAGATCCCGGGGTGGAGTGGCCTTGCCAACGCCAACGCGCGTGCCACCAGATTCGGGGACCTCTACCCTCTGCCGCCCAGCCAGCAGGTAAGGGTAGCAGCCCAGCTCACTAGCATGCATGCATACATGCATACATGCATGCAGCAGCACGCACATCCCCGGGGTGGAGCGGCCTTGCCAACGCACGCGCCACCATCTTTGGGGATCTCTACCCCCTGCCGCCCAGCCAGCAGGTATGTTCTGTGATTGCCAACCTGCGCTTCTGTGATTGCTGCCGTCCTGCCACGTGCACTGCTGCTCTTCCCATCACCTCACCTGCCTCCATTTCCCAGCCTTCTTTCCCCCCTTAACCCCACCAGCAGTGCACAGGGAGCTCCTATATGAAGCGGCACCAGCACGGGGCAGCGCAGCAGCTTACACATCCACTCTTCTGGCAACGCCCCTTGCATTGCTGCTCCTCTCCACTGTCGCCCTCACCTCCTCTCCCTCTCCCCCTTATACGTGTTGGGCTGAGAAAAAGCCCTTAGGATCTTTGCAGGACAGAATTCAAGGGTAGGACAATGTAATAGCGGAAGCGTTTAATAAAAGTATTGTGAACCACCTTGCGCTGGTATGTGAGGGCAAAGTTGATTGATTAAAACAAAGAGATACAAGCTTTTATAAGGATACAAGGAATATGAAGAGATACGGTTAATAACCGTTTTACTGTTGCTGTTGCGGTTCGATACAGTGTCGACTCGGGCAACTGCTCAGTAGCGAGTCCGTTGTTTGTCCTTGCTGTCGCGCTGTATTTGTCAGGTCAAAGGTCGCTGACCTTTGACTTACGCGTAACCTCCAGCAGTTGTTCAACCTCCGAGGGTTGACTCGCTGATGCTTCGATATGTTTCGCTTCGCTTCTGACTTGGTGTTTCGATACGGCAGAGGCGCTTAAATCAATTGTTTCCAACAATACGCACCACTGCTTGATCCTTTGCCCCCCCACTAGCCACTCCCCCCTGCATGCTGCTCGTTCACACACAGCTGGTCAGATCGTTGTTACATTTATGTATTAACATTTATTCAGACCCTACTGTAGTTTGTGCAAGGAAATATCCTAGAACAACTAAGCATCTACCCTGGTGCGCCTCGGTAGAACTAAGCATCGACTTCAGCTTCAGAATGGACGATCATTGTAATATTTGCACTCACTTCGTGATAGCCTCTGAACAAGACAGAGAGCCAGAAACATAATCACTTTGTGACCTGTCTCATTCTATGCATCAGCGGAAGAGAATCCATACCTCTCAGTTGAAGAGAATCTTTTCCTCCAGATTAATTAATTCGACTTATACTCCCCTCGCAATAACATATCCAGTCGACGGATCACTTTCTGGAATGAGACAAGCACACGATAAAGAATCTTAGGCGAGCTATGATAAAACATAGCGAAGTTACCATGCAAATGACGTGGTACCTTTTAAGAGTATAAAAGCTTGTCCCTCTTTCTTGAGCTTGTCAATCTGCAAAGGCCCGTCCGCACGGACGTGGTAGTTAGTGCGCATGTATCAACCAATAATTGAATGCGTAGAAATTAGCTGCATCAGATACCTCTTCCTGCATCCTCGACTGCATCCTCTCGTTGGCTGCCAACTTTTCGTTGGCTGCGGACAGCTTCGCGTTCAGGTTAGACGCCTCCTCCGTTTTTTCCCCAAGAAGCTTCTCAGTATCTTGAAGCTTTGACTTCGCCTGTAGAGCCATAAGTCAGGGAGGTCGAAAAGCGTAGATCGTCTAAAACGTCCCACACGTACCACTTTCCACCCCTTGTTGGCATGCTGCAAAGAACGGAACACGGAACACTTGAGCTCGTCCATTTTGTCAGCAAGCTTGAGCTCGTCCATTTAGTCATTGCATAAGACAGAAAGGTCCTCCGGGACAGCTGAATGGTTATTGGAGGTTACTGGTGGTTCCTGAATCGGAAAAAAAAAATCGTCTTGATTTAGTCGTCCTCAGAGTAAGCAGAAAAGATGTACGATGCGAAGAAATTGCGGATTTACATACTTCTGCTGATAAATCATGACTGGCGTTAGCATATCTGTTGTGATCAACCGTTGTCAAAAGACGGCGTGACGCTGTTTGAGCTGTGCTTCCGGTCCTTGTTGGGGCTACTGATGTCCTGCTTGGGCTGGGTAGATCCTTATATCTCTTCCGTAGCTTACTATGCCTTCCACATTCCCAACCGTCTATTTGTGGCCGCTGAAAGTCACTCGTTGTTGTACTCAAAATTGGAGTGGACATATTGCCTAGGGCGATGGCAAGAGAATGCCAAGAGCATCTGTGCGAGGGTAATTTGTAGGTTTGGAACCCACGCGGGTGAAAGGTCAACGCTAGGCTTCGAGCAGCTATGACTTCCCCACCGATTTTGAAATCTGTATCGCCACATTTCCAGGACATCTGATCTGACATGGCGCGACAGATCAAATCGGTGGAAACCAATCAGGCAGAACCAAATAGGCCGAACTTGCTTCAGCAGTCTGGGTTTTGGCGCGAGGAACAAAATCGCCGACGCGGCAGTCATTGATCAGTGCTGAATCGAAACATGGGTTTCGAACACTCCTGGCGATGAGTCTTGGTGAGTCGCGGCACGTCACCAAGTCAAATAGCAACTCGCTTTAGAGAAGCAAGAGAATGAAATAGATGAAAAACGAATTATAAAAGTACTTCAACTGAAAAAATGGTTATCTATAAAAGAAAGGGTGTCTATAATCAATAACCTGTCCTTTCATTTGTGAGACTATAGGGACATGACCTTATTTTGATAAATTAATACAGATACACTGATAAAACGCACAGACACCACCGATCAATAGCATTTCGAAAGTTTTGGCTTATCGGTGATGGTAACAAAGAATGGTGCAGTTGACCAAAGTACTTAAGCCAATATTGCTATCACTCATTACACAATGCATTACATCCAAGCCTGTAAACAACATATTCCCATACGAAGGCAAAGTGCAAAGAGGCTGTCTATCGCTTCTTAGACACACCAACAGTCCGGCCGCGGCGACCAGTGGTCTTGGTGTGCTGCCCACGCACACGCAGGCCCCAGTAGTGTCGCAGCCCACGGTGATTCCTGCAGAGAGGGAATGCAGGAATGCAGTAATGCCATGGGAGGGCGAGTGGAGGGCCGCCACAGGCAGGGCAGGGAACGCACAGCAGCGAGAAACAGGATTTGATCCCATACACGCAAATTCAGTCTTGTCAGGTAAAGACAAGGTCAATCATCATCAGAGCATCAGAGCAGCAGGGGGCATTTGGGCAGTAATTTCACTCACCCCACCACCCCTGCCACCTCAACCGCCCTCTACACATCCCACCCGGTCCTCCATGGCACCCCTAACGTGATGATGGAGCACGAAACAAGATGATCATGTGGATGATGGTGTTAATGACCATGGTGTTGATGACCATGGTGTTGATGACCATGGTGTTGATGACCATGGTGTTGATGACCATGGTGTTGATGACCATGGTGTTGATGACCATGGTGTTGATGACCGTGTTGTTGATGACCATGTTGTTGATGACCATGGTGTTGATGACCATGGTGTTGATGATGGTGTTCATAATCGTGGTAATCGTGATGACTGGCCTAGCGGAGCAACATGTGAGGCGGATAAGTGGATCAGCGCAATGGACGGACCTGATCTTCTTGAGGCGCTCGAGGTCGTCGCGCATCTTCATGTCGAGTCCGTTGGACACGACCTGCGAGTAGCGGCCGTCCTTGTAGTCCTTCTGCCTGTTCAGGAACCAGTCGGGGATCTTGAACTGCCGCGGGTTGCCCACTATCACCATCAGATTCTCCAGCTCCGCCGCCGATAGCTCGCCCGCCCTGCCACCCCCCGCGCACCCGCCGCACACGCACACGCACGCGCATAGGGCAGAGGGAGGAAAGGGACGCGCGCGCATGAGCGGACCAGGCAAGCGGATGGTGATGAAACCCTAAATTCGGAATACGCTACAAAACGGTAGTTATGAGCTCGTAACTTGGGGCCGTCAAAACTGAAAATGGAATCGCATGGTGTGACACGGTACGACACTGCAAGGGCGGTGAGCGGTGCGCGTGCAACCCAATTCGGCTAACATTCTGGCCTGACACCCATGATACTGCCGGGATTGGTCGCGCAAACATGGTAGCGGCAATGCAACTTCACGATCGAGCCAGAGATATCCGCGTGAAGCAGCAAGCAGCACCAGGCAATCAGGAATTTGAAGAAACGACCAGGTGAGGCATCAGACACGACGGAGAAACGAGAAGAGCAGCAAGTTGCCAGGAATACGGAGGGCGCGAGGGACGCGGGTGATGGGGCGCGGTGGATGAGAGCGATGGGACGTGGGATGAGGTAAAACGAGAGGGCCATAGAGAGCCGACGAGTGCGACGAGTGCGAGGAGCGAGGCGAGCGGGAGAGGGAGAGGGAGAGCGGGGAATACCGCTTGTTGAGGTCGACGTCGGCCTTCTTGCAGACGATGTTAGCGAAGCGGCGGCCAATACCGCGGATGGAGGTGAGCGCGTACATGATCTTGGTCCGGCCGTCCACGTTGGTGTTGAGCACGCGCAGAATGTGCTGAAACCCCTCGTTCGCTACGAGCGCCTACCGACCATCGCAGCACACGCACGCACAGCACGCCCACGCCGCGCACCCACGCACGCGCACAGCAAGCACACGCATGCGACATGAACACGCACGCAACAAGCACGCGCACGCAACATGCACGCAGCATGTACACGCACACGCACACACCATGCACACGCACGCACCACATGCACACGCACGCAACACGAAGAACATGGACCCATTCTACTATTAGAAATTAGCGCACACCGCCTGCTCTGGTAACTTCAAACGCTATTTTTTTTTTACGAGTCGCGCAGCATCTAGAATCTGCTACCACAGGGAATGCGTTAAAAACCGTGACATGCAGCAGACCTACCATGGTGGCGGCCTGGTGGAGCGAGGCGACTAAGCTAGGAGGGAGGGAAAGGTATCGAGGAAAAGGAGCCGATCAGGCCGTGGGAGGCGCATTCAAAGAGAGCGCGGGGAAAGGAAGTTCGGTCCGATGCCCGGTGCAGAAGGGGAGGAAAGAGCTTGCACGTGGTGGTAGGCCACCGCAGCCGACTGACGACGTTCGACTGGCTGGGCACGTATTTCGCAAACCCTAGTTACTCCAGAAAGTTACAGGTCGCCAGTGTCAAAGTGGTGAAATTTTGCCTAGTTACCTTGTACAGACTTTCAAAGCTAGTCTCTTCTAAACAATACAAAACATTGCTATCTGTTATGAGAATGCCAGCCCTACATTGTTCTGAGCTTCTGAGTGTGGGGCTGTTCTTGCATTCCCGTATCTTTCAATATCAGAACAAGGAGCCGGACTGTAATTCATGGCATATTCACGCATTGCTCCATACATGCGCAGGCCTGAAGAAGCTTATAACGCAAGCTTACATCACTCAGATTAACTACAGTACATGCATGGTTCATCGCTTGCCGCCACCACCACCGCTTGCACCCTTGCCACCCTTGGGCCCTGAAGCACGTGGAGCAGCCGCCTTGGTAGAGGCCTTGGCCTGCTTGGTTGTCACCTCTGCCTTCTTGGCCTTCTTCTCATCCTTCACCTTCTTCAGCCGCTCCTTGATCTCACTGCTCCCACACACGCCCACAGATGCCGCCAGGTAAGCACAGGTATATACACACATACAGACGCATACTCATTCACATTCACATACACATACACATCACATGCACATACACACACGCACACATACACATCCGTGTACATGTGGTCCCACATGCTCCCGCCCAATATGCAATGCACCCTCCATTCACAAGCGCCAGTGCATGAGCACACATGGGGAGAAGGCGGTGAGCGCAACAGGAGACAAGGTGACAAGGGGGCAAACAGGGGTCGCAGGAGAGGCAAGCACACACGGAGAGACGGGGGGCTACACTGTGCGTTGCATTGATGCATGGGTGCAGCGGCGCACGCACAAGCTTTACCAAAAGGAAAGCAAGTGAATGCATGGCATGGAAATTAATGGCAGAGACATAAATGGCATGGGAATGAATGGCATGGGGATGAATGGCATGGGGATGAATGGCATGGGAAAGAATGGGATGGGTATGAATGGCATGGAAATGAATGGCATGAGAATGAATGGCATGGAAATGAATGGCATGGGAATGCATGACATGGAAATGAATTGGCATGGGAATGGCTCGCATGGGAAAGGCTCGCATGGGAATGGCTCGCATGGGAATGCATGGCATGAGAATGCATGGCATGGGAATGCAAGAGACGGGGCGACGGGGCGCAACTGACCGGAGCGCGGCATCTCTGGCGGCGGCGCGGACCTCGGCCTTCTCGGAGCGGCGCTTCTGAATGACCTCGAGCGACGCGCCCACGATGGAGCGGCTGTGCACCTTGGTGGCCGTGCGCTTCTTCCGCCGCACGCCCTCCGCTTGCACGTCCTGCGGGCGCAGTAAGCGGAGACAGCGGAGGCAAGAGGTGCGCACGTGGGACGAGAGAGGAGGGTGAGTCTCGGAGGCAAGAGGGCGGACGCACTGCGCGCGAGGCGGGCGACGACGCGGACGGGGAGAGGGCCTAAGCGACGGGGGGAGGACACGAAGCAGCGATACGCAGGGGCTGGATTGCGGTATGGCGCGACACAGGGACGTGTAAAGCGACATGACGACGCGCATGGTGACATGAAGACGCGCACGGGCAACACGACGACGCGCATGGCGACATGACCACGTGCAAAGCGATATGACGAGGTGGAGAAGCTTCATGACGACGCGCAAACCAAACACTGCCTAGCCATCGATGACCATTCCGACAGCTGCCTTTGTTAATTGACCCCCGCTCGCCCATTCCCAACGACATAACCCTCTCGCGCCAGTCCCTCGCTCATCTCTCCCACGCCTCTTGCTCCTAGCCGTCAGTGCCCGCTGCCCTTCATGGTCGCAACCATCTTACCTCCACCCCCAGCCATCCGCTACACTGCCCTCCCCTTCCTCCCTTCATGCAAACACCACTGCTGCTCCAGAGCCCAATATCCGCCACTCTCCTTCGCCAACCGTGCCTTTCCTCCCCCCCCCCCTCCATCCCTTCTGCCTTACTCCCTGCGCCCCTACTTCTCTACCTCCTTCCCCTTCCGAACTCTTCCCCCGCCTTCCTTCCCTTTCCGTACTCGCCTCCCCCTGCCCTCCCCCGCCGTGCCTGCTCTCTACACTATTGCTCGTCGCCTCCTCGCGGCCACGACCACGTTCTGCCTTTCATTCATCGCTCCCCGCCCGTCGACCTGCTTCAATGTTGCAACCTGCGTCGATGCTTCTACCTACTTCGACATTTCACGGGGCCTGTTCCCGCGCGACGACGCACCTTCTTGTGCTGCTTGCGGTAGATGGCGGTCCAGTCGAGCTTGGAGGGCTTGAGGCGGTTGTGGAAGTACTGCTTGCACTTGGCGTTCACGAACAGAAACACCTGCCGCCCGCCCCCCCACACGGCCCGCACCACCGAACCGTTAGCAGACTCAAAATCTAGCTAAGGAAACCACTGATAGAGACGTAAAGAGCTGGTTCTGCCGCAGAGGATATGACAACGAGATAATATGCGGGCGCGTCGAGGCAGGGAGGCACGGGAGGGCGTGGGAGGGGGTAGGCGGGAACGGGCGGTGGCGGGAATGGGGAGGGGGGACGGGAGTCGGGGGAATGGGGCGGCGGGGAGACCTGCGAGTCGGCACGGATGAAGCGAATGCCCCTCCCGGGGTAGATCTTGGCACCGCTGAACCGGCAGAGCTCCGTCCTGCCACGCAGCACGGTACGCATAATGGCACGTAGCAAACACAGCACGGCACGCAGCACGCAGCACGGTATACTCGCGGTTAGAGGGCGGAACTGGGCAGAATTTGGTGAAGTTGCTACGGGAAAGAGGAGTCGGCACATGAGGATGGAATCGCGACGTCAGATCGGAGCGAGCAACGATGTGAAGCAGGCGTTAGGGTTAGGCGGTACGGACTTGAGAACCATGGCGCTGAGTGTTGGTGTCCCAGTGGCGTTAGAGGGGCGTAAGGGAAAAGGAGGGGAAGAAAGGAGAGTAGGGGATTTGACGAGAGCTATTCGATGGCTGGGGAAAGCGAACAGTGGAGGGGGTGAGGTTCGGTGATGAGCGCAGTGCAGAGCAACAACACGAGCGACAAGAAGCATGCAGGTGGTGGTTCGCCACCAGGAATTGGTTGATTGCCCCTGCTTCGCCAAAAGATCCCCCAATTCACAATTTTACCGTCGAACCCGATTGCTTTCTAACAGATTCTTAGTTACAGCAAACTTCTATTATGATATCAAACCAGCCACCGTTTGCACAGGAACAGACAATTCTATGAAAATAATTGTGAAATCTAAAACATACAGTAATTAAGACCTGTAAAACTCCCAATCAATCAGCACCACCGCATGGAGACTGTAATGAAAACTACCTTGCCTGATCTCATTAGGCTTCATCATAAGAAGCCTCTGTACATGCCACACAGAAGTCCCACCATCAGGTAGACAGGAACACCCTAATCCAAACTTCCTGCTTCCTATTAAGCAGTGTGTACGGCCCACTGTACCCCGCATACGCGCCCGAGCTCTCATCAAACCCCATGCCACGCCGCTCCAACAATCCTTTGAGGCGCTGCAGCTTGCTGCCATACACCGCCTCCGTGGGAAATCCCCCAAACGGCCCCAGCACAGCGCGCACCACTCCGCGCGGCATCAGAACGAGCTTCACTGTCGGGTCTGTGGGCTGTGGCACGCTCTCAGGCGAGTAACGCCGCGGCACCACCAGGGATACCTCGTAGCCTGCTGCCTCGGGGCGTGGCATGGTGAGGACCGGGGCGGTGAGTGCGATGGGTTCGGAGCGCGCGTTGTGGCCGGCAAAGAAGGAGTGCAGGCGCCACGTGCCGTCCTCCACTGCCTTGTCGTATGATGCGTTCACCACTATGGTCGTCACCCATACCTAGTGGGCGGGGGGTGAGGGGGAGATGGGAGAGGGGAAGGAAAGGGGAGGGGAGGGGGAGGGACATGACGATATGGGCAGTGGACGGCGAGTGAATGGATTCAAGGAGGGAGGCGAGCAAGAATGAGGCTGTGAATGATGGCTCTGAGTGGCCTGCATCATCCCCCGCCTCACCTGCACACTCACGGTCTTTTAACATTGCAACACCCCAACCAACCACTCAACCCCAGTCACTCCCCGTTTCCCCCTATCTCCCACCTATGACCCCAAGACCCCCCTTTCTTTCCCCCCTCTCCGCTTTCCCCCTCACTTTCCCCCCTCTCCCCGCGCACCTCGTCATCGGGGTAGCTGCGCAGCTCGTGCCCCTTGCTGCGTCCGCTCACGTTGCACGCGGGGGTCTCCTCCGCCACGCGCGGCCCGCACGCGCCCGCGAACGACCCCTCGCCGTCCAGCGCCGGCACCACGAACCACCGCCCGAACCCCTCCGGCCGCGCCTCCGCCGCCCCGCCCGCCATCGCCACCGCCAGCAGCGCTACTACCAGCGCGCGCACCGCTGGTGGGGGGGACGCACGCGGAGGCGGATGAGGGCGGGGCGGTGTGGGGAAGGGACGAGGGGAAGGGGTGGGTGGAAAGGGGTGAAGGGGGAGCGGTGGGGGGAAAGGCTGAAGCGGAATGGCGGCGAATGCGCGCTGCAGGGGAGCACGGCGGGAGAGGAGGAACGGGATGAGACGATGACGACGGGGGAGGAAATCGCGACGTGCAGCCACACGCCCGTTCGTCCAGCCGCGCAGTCATGGCGACACGAGGGTGAATGGCGGACCAGCGCGAGCAAGGGCGGTTCCACTACGCATGGCTGACCTTGCATCGTGGTCGATGGCGATAAAGCGAGCGAATGCTAAAAGGCTATCGTCGCCGCGTGGCGCGGATGCTCTCCACTACGC